CAATGCACTGTAATTCAGTCTTGCTGATCGTAGGGAGTTGCCTCTACAGAGACTTCATTTCTGCCTTGGTCCCAAGACATGCTGGCCAAACCTGTGATTTTTAGAAGGCAGTATCTTCCTAGAAGATAGAATGTTCATTAGTAGCAGCAACTATAGAATTGCAATATGGGGGAAAAATAATTAAAGGATACTGCTTTTGGGGATACCTGCTATAGGAAGTTTCTGGGTTTGTCTTGCAAACAAGTTTTCAGATATTTAGGAGAAAATAACACAGAGTCCTTCTCTGCACCAAGATTGATAAGGGCAGAGTCATTGGGGGCTGCACAACTATCTGAGCTAGTAACAACAGGCAGTGATAAGTACTAGCACCACACACTTAACTAAGAAATTTCATTTAACCATTTGATTTTTGCTTTGCTTTTGAACTGTGCAGTAGAAGTGGTGCCTAGTACTGGATCTTATACTGCCTGGGGAGGGGGGAAGGGGAGGAGGTGGTGGTGTGATGCTTGAGGGAGTGGGGAGGAGGTACCAATTCCAGAACCTTTGCTGCCTGGGAGAATGGGGGTGGGGGGAGTGACTAGGTGGTGCCCGGTATTGGATCTCTTGCTGCCCCTTGTGGGAGGGAATGGGAGGGGTTGCTAATAATACCTAGAATTGGAGCCTTTGCTGCCTGGAGGGGGAAGTTGTCTTAGAATGAAGTTATTTCCTCCTCCTGCAAGTGTTGCTGGAGATGTGATCATGCTGGGGTGGGCTAGACCTTATCAGTGGGATTGGAGTTAAGGCTGCTGAGGTGGCAGACCCCATCAGAGATTGACTGTGCCCCTGGGAGTGAACTGTACTGCCTATCCGCTCCAGCAGTCTGTGCATTGAGCAGGAAAATACTTCTTTATCACTACATGTGTGCCAGGCTGTGCTGCAGCCAGTGAGGAGCTACCTGCTGTTGGGTCATAGCTCCTGGGAGGGAAGGAGGAAGGGAAAAGAGTTGTCCTGACATCCATTGCCACCCCCTAATCTAACCAGCCAGTTCTTCTTTCCAATACAGATGGCAGCTCAGAGGCAGCGCGCCCTGGCCATCATGTGTCGTGTGTATGTGGGCTCCATATACTATGAACTGGGAGAAGATACCATTCGTCAGGCCTTTGCCCCATTTGGACCTATAAAAAGCATTGATATGTCCTGGGACTCTGTTACAATGAAACACAAGGTTGGTTAACAGCGCTTGAGTGATGGTTTTTCATATCAGTCTTTAAGGCTTTCCTGATCATATCCAGGAGAAGAAGGAGCCTTTAGCCTACTTTCTAGTTCAGACCTAGGATACTTTAGTACGTTGACTTGTCTGTGGCTGCCTGCTCTACTTAGCTTTGCAGGATGCTGCAGTGGGAACCAGATGTGTATGGGGATGGTGTGCATGAAAGATGCTGAGCAGTTAGCAGTCCTATATGCAGTGGCTCTCTATTAGGCCTCTGGGTATGAGAAACTCGGGAAGCAGGTGGCCGTCGTGGGTCTGTGCTTCAGCCTGCCATTTTCTGCTTTAATAAAAAGCTTCTCTAGGGAATAGCTTTCTCAGGCCACGATAATTGGAATCTGGTACACGGGAAGTTGTGGCTGCGTTAGCTGGCGCTAGTTTGAGACAAGCTGAGGCTGCTATGATTCAGTAAGAGTATCCTTCTGTCCTAGGGTTTTGCCTTTGTGGAATATGAGGTGCCTGAAGCTGCTCAGCTGGCCTTGGAACAGATGAACTCTGTCATGTTGGGGGGAAGAAATATAAAGGTGAGTAGCAGGCATGCTTTGAAACGTCTTGTTTCTTTTTACTGCAAATAAAGTTTTTCATGGCTAGAAATGCTTCCCACAGCACTGTATTGTGGAAGGTAACCTAAAATCTATTTCCTGATGGACCTTCATGTTTGACTCACTAAGTACATGGTGGCTCTTGGCCCCTTGATCTGTGAGGAGAAACCTTCCGAGCGCCTATGTAATCTAGAAGGTTGTTCTGGTAAGCTGGCTCTTCCCCCCCATACAAAGAATGGAAGTCTCTTGAGGAAAAAACAAAGGCATTTGGTATTTTTTGCCTTCTTAGTATGTTATGCCTTTGTGGATGATAGATAAGTCGCATCTGGCTTTTGTTGTGCCTGTTGATGTATAAGGGACTTCAGGTAATGGCTCACCCTTGCCAGACAAAAAGGAGATGTTCAGGACAAACTGAAAGAAACAAATGACTTCAGCAGCTGTGTTTTTCTAGGCAGTAAGAAAGAGATTACTGTCCAAAGGTGGAACTTTGGGGGAAACTTTAGCATTTTCTGCAAGTACAGTGTTTTATATCTTGCATTTATATCTCTGATTATGTTCTGCATATCTGCAGTGTCCATTTCTAAGTGGTTTTTAGGAGCCTTCAAAAGAAGGGTATAGAAGCATTGTGTCTTGCTTCCAGTATTGATCTCACTTTCTGGAAGCTGGTCTCTGGTAGGTGAGGGGAGATAAGTGCTTGCTTAGAAAAAATGGGGAGAAGAAAAGGGGGGTCTGTCTAGGCTCTGAGACTTTCTGGAGTCTCCTGTAGAGCAGGCTGTATCCCAGTACTAAGAGTTAACTGTTGCCCTTGTACTACTTGTGACGTTATGATGGGCTATATGGGTTGAACAGGCAGTCAAGCAGCTGTCTTGAGTTCTTGCCTTCTGTATGCCTTGGCAAGTTGTGAGGCTGCTGTTCAGCATCTTACTTCAACGCTTACTGGACTGTTTGTTTGCTGTGTTCTCTGCAGGTTGGAAGACCGAGTAATATAGGCCAGGCACAACCAATTATAGACCAGCTAGCAGAAGAGGCAAGGGCTTTTAACCGCATCTATGTGGCATCTGTTCATCAGGATCTTTCAGATGATGACATCAAGAGTGTGTTTGAGGCCTTTGGAAAGATTAAATCCTGCACCCTAGCAAGGGATCCTACCACAGGAAAACACAAAGGCTATGGTTTCATTGGTAAAATGACTATGATATTTGTTGTGGGGTAGGGAATGTCATTGGGATCATCTTCATCCTTTTTACTCCAGTGGAAGAATTACTTTAAACTATGGAATAGGAATAAATTTGGAGGGGGATCTGTGCCTGAACATAGAAACCTAATTAGTTTGGAGATCTTACTGTGTTTACTATTCTTAACGATGGTTGTGTAATCAGAGGGGTAAGATGAGTGAACTAAGAAGTGAGGGACTTCTCACTGGAGCATCTAAATTGTCTAGTGAGAGAGTGGTTGAGTTTCCAAGTAAAAAAGGGTTATTTGTAAGCATTCCCCTTTCTCATTGCAGAGTATGAGAAAGCACAGTCTTCTCAAGATGCTGTTTCTTCTATGAACCTCTTTGACCTTGGGGGTCAATATCTCCGAGTTGGTAAAGCTGTCACTCCTCCAATGCCTCTCCTGACACCTGCTACCCCAGGAGGATTACCTCCAGCTGCAGCTGTTGCTGCAGCAGCTGCTACAGCAAAAATCACAGCACAGGTAAGGCACAGGCTGGTATCATTCTACAAAATGGATGGTTATTGTGGTCCTATTAGAATCAAGAGTGCAAGCTCTTCCAGCCATGTATTCACTAGTTTTAATGAAAGCTGTGTTCCCAGGACTTCACATGTAGAGGCTTGCCTAGGACACTTGTGAGGATCTGATACGTCAGCCTTTTGGAATAGAGTCTGATTGGAACTTGAAATAAAGAAATGGGCGAGGAAGGTTGAGGGAAGACTCCTTGTCTGGACAGACATACAAAAAAAATATGTAAAAGGTTATAGTAGCAACTAAAAGAATGCCAGAAATTATGTGATGGGCAGGTAGTAATGAGGGCAATAATAGTCACCTGAGTAATATTGTTGAAAAGACTCTGCCTGTGGTAAGGTGAAAGGCAGCTCTTATGGCTTTAGGCTGCATAGAAAACAGGTAATGAAGTGATTGAGCAGAACTGAATAGTGATGCAGGAGTGTAGGGGTTCTCAAATGTAGTTTGCTCAGAGACTACCGTAAGTGGTCAGAAGTAACAGAAGCTCCTGGCTATGATCAATAGGCACTCATGGAGGAGATTTGCCGTTGAAAGTAAGCCCCCATATCTATGCCCATTTTCCTTGCCTTGGAAGGAACCAGGGCCTCTCCATATGCCCCCACAGCCCAAGCAAGAAATGAGGGTTCCATGACTGTTGGGTTCTTGGAGCAAAAAGCTGCTGAAGTATACAGCCGATAGGCTGCTAATCAGCTGACTGGTGATAATTTTATGAACAGAGCTATTCATGAAAATACTTCTCTGAATCACAAGGTAAAGGTAGAAATGGGAGGGGCTGCCATTGTGTGGAACTGAAGTGGTTTGCATGTCAAAGTGCACTATAGTCTAGAAACCTCTGCAGTTGACTAGGCATGCTGCAACTTCCTCCTTTAAAAGAGTTATAGGAGTCAAAATGACTTTAGGGAAGAACTGTTAACCCCTCACTTAAGTAGAGACCTGTTACAAGCATGGATAAATTTTAGTGTTCCTGTAATATACTGCAAGATTTGTTACTGCAGGGGAAACTTTAAATTCTGGATGTAGAATCCTAGAAACAGAGGTTCTGCAGGACCTTAGAGATACTCATCAGTCACGTTCCCTTTACTTGGGCAAGATATGTATCTCATCAATCTTTCCGATGTCTGTCTGATTTGCCATGTGGCCAGTCATAGATAACTAGCAAAAAGAGTAAGAATTAGAGCAATTACAGAATATATCATCTCTGGTTTATGCTTCCAGTGTAGTTCTTGTATTCACTATTCTTGTATGAATAGTTTAAATTAAATACCGACCATATCTGTGTACATTTTAAGGGCTTTGTGGTTTCAAAGGAGTAGATTTGTGAAATTAAAGAAGCTAATCAGTAAACTCAGCTGGACTGAAGAATTCATGAACGTCAGAGGGAAGCTCTAAGTTGGATGCAACTTTGTCTGAAATTAGCATGCTGACCAAGGAAGCAGGAAGTGTCTCCACTCTTAATATGAGTAGAGACAGGTCCTGAATAGCAAAGATAGCTATGTCTTGACAGCCATAATACAAAAGTCAGCCTTGCAACAGAAGTTAAGAAGCTAGAGCTATTAGGAAGAGTTTCTCTAGCCCTTTGAGTAAAAGGTGGGGCAGCTAGAGAAAGGTGAACTCAAGATCACAGAGAGAGTCTAGGTACAGCACTGGATGCTTACACAAGTATTTTTCCTCACTCTTCCATAGAAGTGAAAGGCAGCCTGACTAATGAAGCACATGGAATTGCTGTATTTTAGATAGGAGTACAGCTCAGTTTGTCACGTGTAGTTGTATATTTAATAGTTTTATTGGTTTTGTTTGTTTTCTTAATTCTGTCAAGTCAGGACTATTGCCGTATGACTGGAGAATAGTAAACATGATACTTGTGTTCATATAATATGATTGCTTTAAAGGAAGGACAGAGGTTTAAATAGAAACAGATATGGATTATATTTGAGTGTGCTAGGGAAACATCCTGCTAAGAGATAACTTTCTTTGGTAAGTCCTACTGTTATACTTTATTAGGAAAAAAGTGTTCTGCATATCCTACCCCTAGCTCAGAACATTATTTGGTAGACGCCCATATGAAAAGCTGTTAGACAAGACCAAAGCTATTGCAATGAATCTTAAGATGAAGACGGAGGTGAGGCTGACAGGCCTGTAGTTCTCTGGGTCCCCCTTGAAGACTGGAGTGACAGTAGGAGAAGAGTTCTAATGAAATTTGCCAGTAACACAGGGCTGAGCTGTGTTATTAATACATAGGAGAATTGGAATATCAGAAAGGAGGAGTGATCTTGAGGACTGGAATAAGAATATATGTGGCATTTATTAGTCGAGTACAAGATACTGCATTTAATGACCAAAACTCAAGAATTTTTGCTCTAAGGTGGGAGCTTAGGAGGCCCATGCAAATAAGAGGAGGATCTGGGTAATTAAATCATGAGTATAATGTGCTGTTAAAACAGCAAAAAAGTTGGGATTCTAAGATATATTAAGAAAACTATTTTCAGTAGTTTTACTGAAGTGTTATCATTTTAACAAGGTCTTCATCTGGAGTGTTATTTGCATTTTGGCTATCTAGAGTTAAGAGACTTATTTAGATTTTTAGAGAAGGACTGCACCGATAAAGAAAATGGAAAATCGGATATACAGGAAGAAACTAGAAAAACTTGGCTTACCACAACCGTAGAATAAAGGCTGAAAAGGGCATCAGATTTTTGCTTGAGTACAGTCCGTATGGAGGCAAGTAGATAACAGGATGGGAGAAGAGGTTCAGACAATGTGGACAACATGAAATGGCTATAAAATGTCTTAATTATCAAGGGTGGAAATTAGAAAAAAATGTTCAGCCATCAAAAGGGATGAAGTTCAGAAAGGCCTTCCCAATAGAAAATGGTGGTGGCAAAACTTAGCCATGTGTTCGTCTCACTCATAAACTCGCTGAGGTGATAATTGTCTGCAGTTGCTATGATCACAAAGGCCAGCGTCAGTGTTCTGTGTTGCTGCCTGCACCTCAAAGGTTAAAATCAGTCCTTTTGTTCTCTAGTTTTTAACTGATCTAAAAGCGTGTAGCTTTTGAAAATAGCAATGTTGTGCTCTCCCTTGCCCTGTCCCTTGCGCTTGCATTCACGTTTTTGGCCACGCTATTCTTTGAATCAGACAAGTGATCTGGCAGACGGCTAACCCTTAAGAAAAACTTAAGCTGGAAGAATTCCCTAACTGGTTTGTTGCCCAGCCCCAGAGCCCTGATGCTGTTGTCAAAAGGGGTGGGATGAGAGCTCGCATCAATCTGTTTAAATGGATTAGCATTCCTTAGCATTAGTAAAAAGCTTTGTGTAGTGGATGAGCTATTCAACAATGCCTGTCTGGACTATTTTGAAGCAGTTTGAAAAGCTCTTAAGGCCCTCTAGAGTCTTAAGTAGGTTGAAACAAGTAGAGATTCCTCCTGCTCTGCAACTGCCTGCATCTTACAAACAATGTATTGAATACTTTGCTGTCTTTCATTCAGTAGTGTCCTTAACAGCTTGTCAGGATGGGTGAAATTTGAGATATGAGAAAACATTTTTCTTCCAGGGCTTGATGTCTGGTCTCTTATCCCTAGGACCTGCATATTTGGTACTTCCTTAAATGTGGAGAGAAAAGGGCTGACATAGCACAACTTTTTGATACAGAATTAACTATCTGTGGTGTGTGTTTGTTTGTTTCTTGCAGGAGGCAGTGGCAGGAGCTGCAGTTCTTGGCACTTTGGCAACTCCTGGGCTGGTATCTCCAGCACTGACTCTGGCCCAGCCGTTAGGGGCGTTGCCACAGGCTGTAATGGCAGCACAGGCACCAGGAGTCATTACAGGTATGTTTACTCTTCATTTCATCACTTGTATAATTGTTAAAAGCACAATTCTATACAGCTGGTGTCACAGCTAAGAAGGACTTGAAGCTGAAATTCCCCTCCCTGCCCTACCTTGTCAAGAACTTTTTATTTTTTCATTTGTGCAGCATAGCAGGAGTTTATTTTGGTATATAATAGATATGATGGGGGACTTGAACTTCCCAGCAGAAATTAACGGCAGCCTGAGTGAAGATGTGGATAGTTACTACTCCATGCAGAATCCTGCACTCTGCTGTCTCCCTTCTGGGCAAATACGTGATACGTGTTTTGGGTGCATGTGCCCTGTGTGCTGACCAAGTTGCTACTTAAGCCTCCCTGGCTATTCTTGGTGCAGATTCTGGGATCCTCTTCTTCACTGGCTAGCGTCTGTCCAAAGGTTGCAGAACGTTGGTTCTTTTCTTTATGCTACAGGGTCTGTTCTCTTACAGGTGTAACCCCTGCTCGACCTCCCATTCCAGTCACTATCCCACAAGTGGGAGTTGTGAATCCTATCCTAGCTAGTCCCCCAACGTTGGGCCTGATGGAAGTCAAAAAGGAGAAGGAGGAGGAGGAAGTGTTCCAGGAGTCAGAGAGACCAGAGATGTTGAGTGAACAGGAACACATGAGCATATCTGGCAGCAGTGCCCGTCATATGGTGATGCAGAAGTTGCTTCGTAAACAGGAGGTGAGTGTAATTTGACTGTCCTGAGCTGGTTCCAGCTGTCATCAGATGAGAGACCTAGGTTAGGTCCATCTTAATAACTCAGCAGTTCATGGCACCAGCTTCCAGCAGCAAGTACCTTAGGTGCCCCACAGAGCTGATGTGGGAGTACAAAGACTACCTGCTCATGTGCTGCTTGTGATGGTTCTTTCTTACTCTGCCTTTGGGAACTACTTCTCTTGAGTTTCTTCAGGGGTGCTGTCCAGTTACTAGGTCAGAAAAAGCCTGGCTAGTAGGGCTTTCTGATTAAGCCATCTGTTTACTCAGCGTAATTGAAAGGCCATCTTGGTTTGTTTTGGCTTAAAATTAAAGAAGCAAGACTGACACATTTGGAAATAGATTGCCTCTGACACAGTGTTAAGTCCACCTTTTCCCCGCAACCTCTTATGGTAGGGTGAAACTCTGAAGGGCTGACAAAAAAAGGTCACAGAAGATGCAAAGAGGAAGAGGACAAGAATGAATGATGAGAAAATCCAGGACAATGGACTGAATGTAGATTCATAGATTTTTAGGTCTGGAAGGGGCCTTATTGATGATTTCATCAGGCTTCTTGTACAAGCATGGCCAGAGATTTGTCCCTGTGCGTGATTCAGGGTCTTCCTTGATACACAGATTTCCTGAGCTCTGACACTGAATGGACCATTTGTCTTCTCTCTCCCTCTCTGTTTGCACAGTAGGGATAATGCTGACATGCACGTCATAAGAGAGGATGAATGAGTTAGTGAATGTTCCCCTTTGCTTTCAGAGGGAAAACAGCATTACAGACACATCTTCGAGATTTTGACTTTGCTGCTAACTTTTCCTCTGCTGCGAGTGCCTTTCTCAAAGAATCCAATTCATTTGGTATACTTGCATGAAAAAAAGTTCAGCGCTGTCAACAAAAGGAGTCTTAAAACTACACCATTCTGAAAGCTATTTGGCATTCTCAACCTACAAATACCCTTCTGGTTATACTGCTCTTTCCGTAGGCCCATAGAGGCACTTATGCAGGCATGTGTGCCTAAGAACTGGAACAAGTATTTTTAATTATACTGAACCTGAGCTGCAGTGATGACTAGGCTGTGATACTGGGCAGAGCCAGAGATGTGGGGAGGGGATGTGGAATATCTGGGCGTAATGCACGAGAACATACAAAGAAACGGACTTGTATTTATCTATCTACTTTAATGATAGTATCTGGTCAACTGTTAATTGTCAGAGGTGTAAAAGAGTTGGTTAAAGCTGCCAGTGTACGCAGAGATATAAAACAATGTTCACCAAAATATATAACAATGTTGTTGAAGGTAACGAAGCAAAAAATAACTGGATAGCAACAGCACAAAAAAAATTAGAGAGGTCTTCATGTCACTTGTGCTTCAGTAATGAATCTTTTTTTAAAAAAAAAAAAAAAAAGAGGTGGAACACAGCTTTTCTAACTGAGGCCAGCCACAGCACAGCAGTCAATTTCTCCCAAGGCATCAGGAGCGTGAACAGTTCTCATTCATTAACTAATTTATCTCTGAGAATTTGTGACATTATTGACTTCGTGTAATATGCTTACAATGACACAGCACTGGAATGTCCTGCTCTGCTCAGGCCTGCTGCATCATCTATTGTGGCTTTGCAGATTGAACTTCAGTGTCTCATAGGGATTTTAATTCACTTGTTTTGTCCTTGCTCTCTGCAGTCAACTGTGATGGTGCTGCGCAACATGGTGGATCCAAAGGACATTGATGATGACCTAGAGGGAGAAGTGACAGAAGAGTGTGGCAAGTTTGGGGCTGTGAACAGGGTCATCATCTACCAGGAGAAGCAGGGAGAAGAAGAGGATGCTGAGATCATTGTCAAGATCTTTGTGGAGTTCTCCATGGCCTCTGAGACTCACAAAGCCATTCAGGCTCTGAATGGGCGCTGGTTTGCAGGAAGAAAGGTGGTGGCAGAGGTATATGACCAGGAGAGATTTGATAACAGTGACCTGTCAGCATGAACTTTACTTGAAAGAGACTTCTCCCTAGCCCCATCTGCCTGTCTGTTTTTTTTTTTAGCCATGCGTAAGGAACGCTCCAGGGTGGGCGCAGATCTCTGTGATGTACTTGTAGTTTGGATAAAAGCGCAAAGAAAGCTAGTGTGTTTCTGTGTGTGTGTGTTAAAAGGGCTGACATCGTATCAGCTGAGTCTAGCTTGGATCTAGCCTCATCAGCCTAGAAGAGTGGAGCCAGAGCCCAAAGAAGGGTTGCTGCTTGTGCTCCTGCCTTACACACGCTGTGGTCACTTCAGAAACGCCCAGGTCAAGCTCCCATTTCACCTTTTGGGGGCTGGAATAGCAATTTTCATCAGAGATGAGCCATAAATGGTTGTAACGGAGCAGGGAATCTCTTCATGAAGTATTTCAGTAACACTCTTGAATGCTGCTGTGTTATTAATGATGTGTTATTACAGTGGAGGGTAGTCTGGCCAGTCCTGGGAGGGACCCTTCCTGAACAGTGCTTAGCACCTGCATGCTGAGCTTGGGATCTTGGGAGATGATGTGGACATGCTTATGCCACAGTTGTGTCTGTCTTCACTATGTGGACAGGTCTTGCAGGGAATGAGATCTAGATGTAGATGTTCTATGAACCACATATGAAGGGCTCTTCTGCATCAACAACTTCTGGCTTCTTTTGTGGACACAAATACAGAGAAAGGTGCTCTGCAAACCTGGGTCAGAGCCCAGAAGTGAACCAGCTGGGCCTTTCAAAGCATTCACATCCAGTTTGTTCTGATATCATAGTTTGGACCTCACAGTTCTGTTGATGGGTCAGAGCTACCTTTACTGATCCTCCCTTAATGTGCCAAAATATGAGCAGCAACACAGGCTGCAGATGTCACAGCTAGGCTGAGAATGGGAGTAGTGTTGTTTTGCAGCACCTAAAGTGCATTTATAAAATAAACATCTAGCCCTTGTACTATGGTCAGTGATACAGAAGACATGCTTTGCTGAAAGGAAAAGACTTTGTTGAGAACACAGATTTTGTAATACTTAAAAAGCTTGAATGCATTTACTTTTGAAATCTTTCTGTCTAGCTAATGACTAGGAACCAAAATAGCTCCTCATGTTAACGATTTTAAATATTCTAAGCACGTGAGAGAGGCTATTATTTTGCTTGTTATGCATAAGTGTTATGCACACAGTAGAGATCTGAAGAAAATGTTTAGTTTAGAAATTCATATAACAGAAAAATGATCTCAAAGGAACTTCAGAAAGGAGTTCTGAGTTGAGCTTCCTGCTGCTGCAGGTTGCTTCTAAGTTTAGAGATGCTTTTAAAATTAAGGTAGGGGTTAATTAAATGCTCAAGAGAATCTTTCTTCTAATGAAGGTTAGAAATTTGTATTGGCAGACTAACTCTATTTACAGTCAATTTATGTTAACTTGTTTTTGTACTAATATTTCCTGTTAAATAAGCTTAATTAACCTTTCTCTTTCC